CGCCCGATAATCACGCCGCAGACAGTTGCGCATCTCGGCCCATACCGAGCTCCCCGGTGGGTCGGACTTGGGCCAGGCTCACCTCGGCCCTCACACTTGGCATTTGTCGGCGTTGGTGGCGGCCATCTCGGCCTTCCGAGCTGGGCATGATTCATGAGTCATCTTGGAGCACCAATAGGGGTCTTCCACGTGTCCAGAGTATTCCCTTCTCCAAACAGGTATGAAGTGGAAGTACGATACGTTCCCGGGATTAAGTAGTTGACTTGCTCGTCAAAGGATATGCAACTCAAAATTCAAATATCTCCACTCCAAACTCCGACTTGTTGACTTCTCTTATTTACAGAGGTCAAGAGTGTGGAGTAAAATTAAGATGGTCATATCAATGCAACCATATTCAGAACGATAGATAATTTGAGTCCTTGTCTTTCATTACGTTCACTAATTGCATTGGTTATGAACAACGTTTGTGGCTTGACGTCAATAACTTGCTAAAAAATAGTATTTTGAATCGTGTGTTCGATAACTATTAATTACACATTGTTTTGTGATTCCTCTCATTAAAGTCATGGATCTTGGCTAAACTTTTACTTCAATGCAATTCTTCCTAATTCAAATATTTAAACTTAGCTCATGCTGTAGTATAAGTAAAATGGCTTTCACTTCTATAGCTTTGTGTGACAATATGAAAATAAGTTGCACATCTTCCATTTAGAATCTCATTTTCGTCTAGATGGGTGTCGTCTTTGTTTCCATTTTCAATTTTCTCTTGGTACATCCTTTCGATTTTAAATTCTATATTTCTATAACGCCTATTTTAGTTGTTTACCTTCAATTTCTGTTCATTTTAGCCATTGTACTTTCGTTTTGGTCCTTGTACTTTTAAAAARTGACTATTTTTTGTCTCTTCATTTTCATTTTTATTTCATTTATTTTTACAAAAAATTTAGCATGAGACATCACTTACTAAATTTCTTAAAATTTAACAATGAATTTGTATTTAAAAGGTTTTCATCGTGTATAAAGTTCTATAAATATAGACCAAAATGATCACTTTTTAAAAGTATAGAGACAAAATAAACGTTTTGAGAGTATAAAAACTAAAACGAACCAAATTGCAAAATGAACCTGATAGATATTTTGATAATAGACCAAAAAAAAAGGTCTTTGAACTAATTATTACTATTTTATTTAGTTGATGGGCCACGAGGATAAAAGCCATGGCCCATTTGCATTTGAAACTCCATTTTCTTGGGCGAGAGAGAGAGAGAGAGAGAGAGAGAGAGAGAGAGAGAGAGAAACAAAGAATGGGAGCTTTTCTATCGAAGATCGGAGCTTTTCTATCAAGCTTGTACGGCCCCCCGGCGGCGAGCGACGATGCTGCGTCGTCGGAACCATCGTCGGTGCTGTCTTTCCACTCTTCCGCCAGATGGCAACTCCACTTCAATTCTGCGCAGGATTCCTCCAAGCTCGTAAGTGTCAATTTTACTTTTTCCAATTGCATGTGATTCACTGAAGGGAATTTTTTCTAGGGTTACTGTTTTCAGTTCGATCGGTGATCTGATTGTTCTTTATTCGTTGAATTTTATGAACTGTGCGAGGATAGATGGTGATTGATTTCTCCGCGACTTGGTGTGGACCCTGTAGGCTCATGGAGCCGTCCTTCAACGCCATGGCCAACAAATACACCGATGTCGAGTTCGTCAAAATTGATGTCGATGAGTTATCTGTATGGCTTCTTCTTTCTCCCAATTTTGAGTCCCCTTGGTTCTGTATCAGGTTTTGAACTCCAATTATTTGAAAATTTTGAAATATACTTTTTCTTAGGTTAGAATTGACTGATATTAAGTTTTAACCATATAAGTTGGTAGGAATGTAGCAGAGAAATTAGTCCAGAAAAGTTTAAATTTCTGCCAATTTCTTAAAAATTTTGGAGGAATAAGAAACTTTGGCAAATTCCTTCTCCAGATTTCTGCCAACTCACTCATCATATGACACTGTGTAAGTTTATCATCGGTCCATTGTTGAGATTTCTGCCAATTTCTTAGAAATTTGGAGTGGGGCTCGGTCAAGTGATCCAATTTTTTCCCTAGATTTGTATAGTATGATGTCATGTAAGTTTATTATGACCAATTTTAGCATTGACCCTAGATTTCTGCACTCACTGAATTTGATATCAGGTAAGTTTATCCTCACTCAGTTGGACCTAGATTTCTCCAAGTCACTAAATATGATATCAAGCACCGATAGAAAGGTTATAATTGAAAAATATTATAACACAAGGGACTAAAGTAAAAGTTTTTTGAACAACAAGGACTAAATTGAAAACAAAAATCCTCCGAACACTGGAGCCTAAAATATATACCTAGTCAGAATCTAATCCAAAGACTAACAATTTAACGCACTGGTTTGTTGAATCAGGATGTAGCACAAGATTTTGGAGTTCAAGCGATGCCAACATTTGTGTTGCTGAGGAGAGGGAAGGTAGTGGATACAGTGGTTGGAGCCCGTAAGGAAGAGCTGGAGAAGAAGATTCAGAGGCACCGATCTTAAATTCAAAAAAACTCAGTAATAAGTTCTCTCCTTTTCACTCTTCTTCCATTTTTTTTCTTGTGTAAACACATGAAAATTATCTACACTCTAACTTGGTCACTGACTTGAATTAACATATGTTTCATAAGCTCCAACCTTGTTCTTCTTTGATGAGCTCAATCTATCTTCTCTTCTCTTATGATATACCCATTGATCGGTTTTATTTTGTGGGATGATTTTTTCATTCCTCCATCTGCAGGGTGCTTGAAAAACCCAACAGTTTTTTGGCTGTTTTCTTGCAAATAGCTTAAGTTTTGAAGTTGAGTTGAAATATTGATATCTATGTCACACAAATCTTGGTACTGTAGTGCTTAGTTAGTTAGTTAAGACAATATGATCAACAAACTTTGTTCTCCATTTTCTTTTATCTTTTGTTGGAGCGTTCCTCTCTAGGATGTAAAATTCTTTAGTTGTGACTTGGAGAGAAAAAGTTCAAATCTCTTCAAAAGGGGTTGGTTGACTTGTTTTAAAAAATTGTTTTTTGGTTTTTATTTCTATATAAAAGTTGAGTGAAAGTGGATTTGAATAATATGCTTTCTGATCTTTTTGCTTTGTTATCATGAGTGACTTTTGGCTTTCTCTATGAACAAAAAAATGTTCTCTTTAGAAATCATTGGCCTTCCATTTATAAGCCACTCGATCGCCTTTTTGATTCTATTTCTTATATCTTTGAGTGTGCATAATCTCACAGGAACTATTGCTTGATCCTACAAGATTTAGCTTTCAAGAAACTCTAGAATTTTTACATCTTAGATAGGAGTTTGACACTTTTCGAATGTCGCGTTTACCTTTTTCCTTGGCCCTTGCCTCAACATCACTAGATCGAGATCTATTGAAGTTACTCKATCACATTTTTTAAAAACTAATTTAAGATGTCAAAATATAACACATTGAGGGATCATACTTTGAGAATTGCAACTTTCATAGAYTGTGTGGTGCGAGTACACTTTCTCCATCTATAAATCGAATGGATGAAAATATCTATTTTTCTTTTTCTTATGTATATCTTCAAAAATCTAATTGTAATTGTGTTCAATACATTTGTTTTCTTTTTGAGTTTTGTGTTTGATTTTATTATGTTTTTGATAAAATATTAAGTTTTGCTTGTTATAAGGAACAAATTGGTCCTTTTCTCTTTGTATTCTTCCACCAAAATTGATGCATTGCGGAGGCAACCATAAAAAATAAAATAAAGTTGGTTAAATCATAAATTTATTCTTGATGATTGTATTTATTTAGTTTTAAAAATTTCAATTACGTTTTCGAATTTTTTATTTTAATTTCAATGTATTTATCATGTTGTTGTAGTTAAATAATTGTATATCACGTTTTTTAGATTAACAAGTATAATTTGAAAATAGGGAAATATGTCATTTAATTGTGAAATTCAAGCGAAATTTATTTTAAATCGATTTTTGTTTTGCATGTAAACAGCGAAAAACTAGTGTGTGAAATTTAAGTTGATATATTTAATTGAGATCTATTAAGATTTAGAGATTAAATAAATTCGTTTAAATTTACAATATAACCTAAGTGTTTTTTTTTATTGTGACAATGTTTTTTTCCCCCCCTTTTTGTAGTTGTAGCTCATACTTTTGGCTATTTCACTCATATCATGGTCCTCTAGATTACACACCTAAATATTACAACCACATCAAACAAATTCTTCATCCCTTTTAACCATTTTTGTTATTATCATCAAATGGAATTCTAAATTTGAATATGATGAGATTAATATATTTAAAGCTAAATTAGAAAATTGTCTATAAAAAAAACCCAATAAATCACATTGAATCCCAAAAAGGAGGGGAAAAAAAATAAAAAAAAAAGAAACTCAAGCCATAGAAATGTATACCATGTAAATATCACAAAATCAAGTAGGTAGAGTTTTTTCAATAAAATTGAAAAATTAATATGTGCGGAACAAGTCGGATAATTTAGTTGGGTGGCTAAAATTGGTCACCCATCTTAAAAAAATGCCCAATAGTATCACAAAAAAATGCCCAATAGTATCACATTTAGTTAAGGTTAGATTTGAACCCGCCTCTCATTTTCTTATATTTAAGGGATTTAATTGATTTAATTTTATATCTCCACCCTTTAAATTTTGGTCTCGGTGATCTCCCATTCTTCCAATCTTTCCCCTTTGCAACGACCAATTTTGATTGATAATATTGCTCAAGGTGGATGAACTCTCAATCTTCCAAGGTCTAGTAACAACGATGGATTAAGTCTCATCCCCTCAGGTTCTCCCCTCAACAATAGAATAGTGAATTCTGTATTAATCACATTTCTATATAATGGTAGTTGAAACCAAAACAAATCACTCAGACCACGACTAGATATATACAGTGTGCATATATTACTAAAGCGATTGTTTGGTAAGACAATTTCATGTGATAAGTTATATTTGATTTTATTTGATTTCATAATTGTCTGGACCCATTAAATATATCTACTCCCCACCTAGAAACTTTAGATTTTAGAGTTAGTCAAATTTGAATAATTTTTTATTTATACTTTCAATTTTTAAATTAGATTTTAGTTGTTTAAAATTTGATTATTTAGAGTTGATTTTACAATTAGGATGCGTTGTTTTTTTGCGAGTTGTTGTACCAAATAAAATCCGTAAAATTAAATTCATATTGTTATAGGGTATATTTGTCTAAAATAATATTTAGGATCGTAAAAAAATGTCAATTAGCCATTTATACAATATTCAATATGTTTGGCCATTTTTTAAAACGCTTTATTTATTTCTTTCTTTGGAGTTCGAAGTTCAAATCTGACTAATTATTATTGAAGATGAATTCCACCAATTTATTTAAGTTTAGAGCTCAATCTAATAGAATTTAAAGTTTGTAAAAAAAAATAAATTTCATAAACTCCCTTGTTTTAAAATTATCTAGAGCATAACCCAACTAATTAAGAAGGGCCAATATGACATACCACACTAGTTAACTAGAAGTTGGAGGTTCAATCTCAATCTTCACATTTGTTGTAATTAAAAAACTAGTGAAGAGGTATATATGTTTTGTGGAGTTCGAATCGTCACTCGACAAGTCACAAGCTTTTTTACTAAAAGAAAAATCTTAAATAGCAAAATCGTATTTTTATAAAACAATTCTACAAATTTTAGGCTAAATGTATATTTTGATCCCAATGTTTGAGGTTTTTTTTTTATTTTTAATTTTTTCAMTTTGATCCTTAATCTTGAATAGTTTCAATTTTGTTTCTTCTGCATTGATTTTTGTTTTTTATTTTTTATAAATTAAATCCTGAATTCAAAAGTAGTAATTTTTATAAGTTTGAGACTGAAAAAAATTTTAATGAGTCAAATTTTTTTTTATAAGAATGAAAATTTTCAAATCAAATATGTCATTACATATTAAGTTATATGAATGATTAACTAGTTATTTTGTCATTAATTTTAACGTTTAGTGATAAATAAGAACTTTATCGAGAAACCAAACACATCGGAATGAAATCGAAACTTTTAAAAGATTAGAGACGAAATTGAAGAAAGCACCCTAAACATCACAGAATTAACTACCCCAACCCCATTTTTGCGATATTAGTAATTGTTTGCTAGCTACATAGAATACATAATAAAAATATTACAATCAATGCAACCAAAATGGAATTTTATACATTACAATTGATACAAAAATTTGAAAACAAAAGTTACAAAATGAGAATTAACAAGAACATAGGTACTAAAAACCAAACAATTCATTGGAGCTGATGAGATTGAATTTTGCAGAAAAAAAGAGGGAGAGATTTCACATTAAAAAATCTTCGTCTCTTTCTCTTCCAACTTTTAACACATTAACAACTCTGAGTTTTTGGTCAATTTTTGGAGGTGAAAACTTTCCTAGAAAACCTTGTGGTTTGATGTTTCTGCTCTATGGACTCTGAGGCGTTTCTCGGTCTGAAATAAACAGTAAAAGATTTTGCAATCAGATCATAATAAATGTGTTTAATTCAACTTTAAAAGAGTTGTTCGACAAATAGGTTATTCTCGAATCTATATTCGATGCATCATTTGTGTATCTAGGGTTTGTCAATCCCGCAATTTATATAAACTTAGACATTACAAATGTTTCACCTTTTATAATGTTGTATATTAATTAATATTTACAAATCGTAAGCATACTATATAATCAAATGTAGGGGCTAAATAGAAACTATGTATAAATTAGAAAGACCAAATTTATTATTTAACCAAAACCTTAAAAGGTTTGCCACAAATATTTTAAGTTTATGTAATTGGAACTTAATCATTCGAATCTATATTTGATGTGTGGTTTGTCAATCTAGGGTTTACAAATTCACCTTTTATCTTGGATATTAATTAATATTTACAAATCATAGACATATTCAAATTAAACAAGGACTAAATTTAAACTATGTATAAACTGGAAAGACTAGATTCATTATTTAACTAAGTTTTAAAAACCACATGAACCTAATTAAATTTTTAGGTTAAATTGTTTAGTTTCTGAACTTTGATTTATGTCTAATAAAGTCTTTAAACTTTCAATATAATCTTGTGCCTAATAGTTTGAACCCATCAAGTATTTATTTATTTATTTTTTTAAATCCATGAAATCTATTAGATAAAGAAATTGAAAGTTTAGAAGTCTAAAAGACATCGAGTTCAATTTTATGTTAAAAAAATTTGAATAAGGCAGAAAATTTATTCGAGTGACACGTTATTGAATAGTTTAAATATCAAAGTTAAAAAGAGACCTATTTAGACAACACATTTCTATAACTTAATTGGCTAAAACAAAACAAATTCCAGTAGCTATCTCTAAAGTATAATTAGTTTTTACTAGATATCCACTTTTTTCAAGTTCTACTTAATTAGATCCTAGCTGCATAATTAGTTTCTAATTTCCATTTAGCAAAGATTATCAATCGTGTCTAGGAACTAAAACTTGTAATTTAACTTATCTAAAAGATGAAACTGAAGAAAAAGTCAAAGAGATCAGAGTGTTAGAAGAATGACCTTGATCAGAAGAAGGTACGACGACGAGGTGCATGTCGGAGTTGTTGGGCGGAAGATGGAGGCGAAGGGGGTAGAGCTTGCCGTTGAGAGGGTTCCGAGAGCAGACCACGATGTCATGGAGACCCGTCTTATGTCTTAGCATCTCCTTCAACTGCTCCACTTGAGTTCCTTTGAACGTGAAGCTCACCTCTTGTTGTCCTGCCTTCACGTCCCCCTTCTCGTCAGCCACTTGGTAATGAATCACCCTCCCCTCTCCTTTCATGTCTAGCGACGCCTGATCCTTCCACTGCATTATTCGTCCTATTGTTAGATCGTAATTATTATGCCTCAAAAGCTCAAGCTAATACGCTCGTCGTCACTTTAACAATAAAGTCACGCAACCATCACATGCTTAAATCATTATTCCCCCTTCGACTCCGTTTGGGACTAATTTTAACCGTTGTTTAAACATATTTGATAGAGTTGTCATGAATAATACTTTATTGATTAGTACCCATCTTTTACTGATCACTCTTAAATTTTTGACAAATTGGAGAGAGGAATGTTTTCATATTTTATTTTAAAAAAATAAAGAACTGTTAAATTTTAGAGACCATTGACAGGAAGATGAGTGTTAACGGACAAGCAACAAAGAGTATTGTTCGATATTTGGTTAAAATCAGATGAGAGTAGTGACCTCCAGTTTTGTACGATGATGATCATCCGACGACAAGGGCGGCGGCGGCGGCGGGGGCATGGCCTTGGGCAGCGGCGGGGAATCGGGCGGGCTATCAGCGGGCGGTGGCGGCCTCTTAACCGGTGAGTGGGGGCGAATCTCGATCACATCGACGTCCCACAGAACCCAATCCTGAGTGGCGGTTCTGTGAGGAATGTCATGAGTGATGGAATTCCTCCAGGGGGGAACGCCGCCGTTGGCCCGGAGGAACTGGCCGTAGCGGGTCTTGAGCCTGACCTGGAACCCCTCGCGGACGGGCTCCCACTCGACGGAGGAATCGAGGCGCGGCGGCAGAGTTTGGAGAACTTTCTTTCCGGTCATGCCGAAGAAGAAGGGGATGTTGGACGCCGTCAGGTACTTGCCGTAGCAGCTCTTGAAGCGGAGGACGGCGGAGTGGTCGACGAACTCGACCGTCCACTTGGCGTTCTTGACGGAGCCGTTACGGTCCTGGCACACGGATTCCTCGTCGTCCTCCGCCAGCAAATACTTGTCGTGGTGGCTCCGGAGGCGTACGGCCTTCGCCTTCTGGAACAGCTCCATGCCGCTCTGTCAAACAAAATTCGCCAAATTCAGAATTGGGAACAGAATTCTTGAGGAAATGGGATCGGACCCAGAAACCCAATAGAAATTTTTTGAGTTATTTCAGTAATCGATTCAGCGGTAAAAGCAGAGGAAGGAAGAAAATGAGGCAGAAAACAGAGTAAGCTTTGTTTTTGGTTTTGGTTGAAAATGAGAAAATGGGGTTGGGGATTACGAGTGGGAGCCGCGAAGAACAAAACAGTAATCTGCTAATTTCAGTATATCAATGTTTGTGGTTCATACTTTTACACTTTTCTTTTTTCCTCTTTTCTTTATTAATTTGTGTAGATAGATATGAAGTTGTTTAGAATCGTTTACTAATGTTTTCGATTATATTTTCTCATCGGAATTGAATGCTCCCACCGATATAATATGATTTTTATTTAAAAAATTGATAACGAAACATTAGAATTATTCCTAATTTGTATATAATTTAAAAAAGGCAGGTAAATACTTGTTAAATGTTAGATTTCATAAAGTCCAAGATAAGGGAGAGTCAAAATTTCTACCACTTTTTACAAAATTCAAACTTTTCTTAGGTCGTCTAATTTTTATCATGCAGTTTCTCATCAATCAAGTTTAGAATTAAGTATAAAAAAATATAATTACAAATGTTAAAAAATAACGAATTATATTAAAATATTTAAACAATATATTAAATTGAAAAAAAAACTCAAATATTAGGGATGATTTAGTACATATATTTAGCCTACTCTGCAAGATAAAGCTTTGCACAAGAAAAAAGAAAGTTAAATTATATCTTTGATTCCTGACGATCCCGAACTTTCAAAGTTCTATTATATATCGTTTTTAAATTTCTAATTAGATTACTAAATCATTTAATTTTAAGAAGTTTTAGATGATAGGTGACGTAAACATTAAAATAAACATAGCTAGCAAAAAATGTACATTTAAAATATTTTTTAAAGTAAAATAGACACAAATTTTTAAAGTTCACGAAACTATTAAAAACGTTTTAAAGTACACCAACTAAATAGACACAATTAGACCAAAGGTATAATTTAACTAGAAAAAAATGGTAAATGTATTAGAGATTAATTTTTAAAAATTTTGAAATTATATAATCAAAAGTAAAATATTGAGGTTGACAGGGCCATTTGATAGCGATTTTCATTTTCATTTTTTGGTTTTTTGGTTTTCTGTTTTTGAAAAACAAAAATGATATATATGTTTGATAATTGTTTTTTTTTCTTTGAAAAATTGAAAACCAAAGATTGATAACTATTTTTTAGTTTTTTTTTATGTTAGAAAATTGAAAATATATAGCAGAGATAGAAAAATCTATGTAAAATAGAAAAAAACAATGATGTGAGATATAGGAGTCGGGATGCCCTCCTCTATGAATATTTTTAATTCTCACCTCTAACTCTTTCTATAATTTCAGGAATCAAGGTACAAATTAAACAATCTTCACCAGAAAAATGATTTGTTTAATAATTAATTTTAATTTACTAAAAAATTATTATTTACTAGTATAAACAATTAGTTTAAAAAATATTTAACATTTATTTATAATTTAGTAAAACATTCAATAAAATATATATTAATTATTTTTAAAAAATAGAATCGGTTACATGATGAGAAATGCATTCTCTATTTTTAGAGCAGGGACTCAACCTTACGTGAATTTTTTTTCGTCTCTAACAGAGAGATATAAAAATAAAAATTTAGTGAGATAAAAAAGCATTTGAAAGATAAATTTTTAAGAGAGTAAATTTTACAGAGTCATAAGACTTTAAAAAAAAATAGCGAGATAAAATTTAAAGTAAAAAAAAGATTCTAGAAAAAAAAAGTTGAGAACAGAAAACATGTTCAAAGAAAGAAAAAATAGAAAAAAAATAAAAGAAAAAGTAGAGTGAGAACACAATTTGGACAATAGTACATAAAATAAATAAGTAAAAAGAAAAAATAAAAATTATAAGGGAAAGAAAAGTTCTAAAATGTGAAATTCATGAGAAACTTGGAAAATATTAAATTTTTAAAAAAATAAAAAATAAAATGATGTGTTAGAATTGAAAAAAGAAATATAAATATATACGAATGAAATTTTTTTAGAGAGGTGAGGGAGAGAAATAAAGTTTTTAGAGACAGAAATTTAGGTGGAAAAATATTTCAGATTGAGAAAAATAATTATTAGAAAGAAATATGTCAAGGACATCAGCAGAAAACAATGAAATTTAAAATAACAGAAACCTGTTTATGAGAACATTTTCTACTTTTGAAATTTATGTAACTATTTAGAAAATAATTGAAATTTTACACAATTTAATAATGCCACCATCACCTTAGCCTTAGCTGGATAAGCGAGTGGTCAACGTCGTGGAATTGGTCAAAGTTGACAGATTCGAATCATGCAGTCTTACACTGCCCTAACTCTTTATT